TAGCCAAGAGCTATAAAAAAGAATATTTCTGCTTTATTAATTGTATCTTAATTTCCCAGAGAAAATAAGTGATACTTTTTAAAAAATTATTATTAGGGATGTGGTCTTGCTATATTGACCAGACTGGTCGCAACCTCCTGGCCTCAAGTGATCCTCTCATTTCGGCCTTCCAAAGTGCTGGGATTATAGGCATGAACCACCATGCCTGGCAGAAACTGAATAATACTTTAACAGCAATCTTTAACCATGAGAAAAGTTTCACATTTAAAAACATCATTCTTTTGTCCACTTCTACTCAGTGACTAACAATAGGAATTGAGTTTAAGCTGCCTGATAAAGGAGTAAAATTAAATACCACAAGGGAATTTTCCTTTTTCAAAATTGCAGATCAGAAGGAAAAATAAGGCTCTTAGCAAGTATGCCAAATTATTTTAATTAAGATGAAGCCTAAGAAGATGGGGAAGAAAGGCCTGGTTTAAGCAAAGAGGCTGTTCAGGTCTGGTGGGGCATAGGGAAAGCTGGGGGACAAAAAGGGTGAATACATTCTAATTAAAGTTGGAAACAAAACTCCACTACTATATAAATTGTATTGAAAATCTTAGCAACTCAATCAATTAAAAAATAAAGAAATAAAAAATTAGAAAGGAAAAATCAAACTATTTAGATCGACACGGCAATATTCCTGGAAACCCCAAAAAAATCAACAGTAAAATTACAAATAATAATTCAGTGAAGTAACAGGATAGGAAACTAACCCACAAATCAATAGGATTCATGTACAAACCATAAACAATTAGAAGATAATAAAGAACCCTAAACTAAAAAGAAATATGCAAATTTTTATATAAGATACTATAAAACTCTCATTAAATACATAAAAACAGATAAGAATAACAAAAATGTTTGTAATGTTCTTAAGATTACCAAATCTCCCAAAGTTTAATTTACAATCTCATCAAGAACAAATATTATCAACTTCTTGAATCTCGACACAATACATTGATTCTAAAGTTTATATGTAAAAGTAAATAAGCAAGACTAGCCATAAAATGACAGAAAAAGAATAGTTATGAAAATGAGGACTGCTAAACTTATCAGATCCTAACATGCTACAAAGTCTCTATACTACAATCTACTGACATGTAAATAGACCAATGGAACAGATTATAAAATCTAGAAATAAACCTACATTTGTACCAACATTTAGTCACTCAAAAAAATGGCATCCCAAATGATTGGGAAAAAGAACTTTCAAGAAATGATGCTGGAGCAATTGGATAACCATTTGAAAGAAGATAAAATTGAATTGATATATCATACCATACACAGAATAAACTCCAAAAGTATCATATGTCTAAATATAAAAATGGAAACTATGTAGGCACTCAAAGAAAATATGACTTCTGAATACCTTCGAACTGGGAGTAGGAAAGCCTTTCTAAGACTTAAAATCCAGAAGGCATAAAACAAATATTAATGTTTGATTTTATAAATGCAAAGTAAATTTGCATGACAAAAATACATACATCTGTATTATGTGTGTACCCACAGATATATACAAAGAGATCTGAAAACCTAAGAAGGAAATGACCAAAAATCTAACAGAATAATAGGAAAATAACAGTTTACAAAAAAAGAAATGTTAGTGGCCCTTAAACAAATTAAAATATACTCTACCTATCTTATAAGAGAAATGCAAATTAAACTATGCTGAGATACATTTTTTTACTAATCAGATTGGCAAAAATCCAAAAGTTTGATAACACACTTCATTGTCAAGGCTGTAGGGAAACAGGCACTTGCAAACATTTGTGGCTGAAGAACAAAATGGTGTGATTCTTACTTAGAAGTTGGTAATATACAAAATAAATAAATAAATAAAGATATATTTACTCTTTGACCCAGCAATCCCACTTCTAGCAATCTTCCCTGAAGAACCACTTCAAGAAATACAAGACACCATATGCGCAAGGTTATTCACTGTAGCACTGTCATACCAAACAATTGAAAACAATTCAAATGTATCCTTTAATAGGGATAGGTTAGCTGAACTAAGATACTTCCACAAAATGTATAGATACCACCCAGCCACAGAAAAGAATGAGAAAGATCTCTATATACTAATACGGGATGATCTCCAGGATGTATTATACAAAAAAAAGCAAGTCAGAAAACATGCTACCCTTTTTGTAAGAAAGGAGATGCAAGAATGTGTGCGTGTGTGTGTGTGTGCACATGCACGTGCACGTGCACGCACAACTTGCCAAAAAAAGAAACCTGAAAGGAAAAACCAGAAACTCAGCCATGCATGGTGGCTCATGTCTGTAATCCTAGCATTTTGGGAGGCCAAGTCAGGTGGATCACTTAGGTCAGGAGTTCAAGACCAGCCTGGCCAATATGGTGAAACCCCATCTCTACTAAAAATACAAAACATTAGCCGGGTGTAGTGGCTCACACCTGCAATCCCAGCTATTTGGGAGGCTAAATGGGAGAACTGCTTGAACCGAGAAAACGCAGGTTGCAGTGAGCTGAGATCGCACTTCAGCCGGGACAATGGAGGAAGACTCTGTCTCAAAAAAAAAAAAAAAAAAAAGAAGAAGAAGAAGACTGAAGAAGAGGAAAGAAACTAATACAAATTGTAAATAAAGTTTAAAGATGGCTGGGTGGGGGTAACACTCGTCAAACACTAAAGACATATTTTGCTTGCTTAGCAATTTTGCCTAGAGGCAGTACACTCACCCAATTAGAAATTGACAGCCGCTATGAAATCTAAACTATCTCTGATAGAGATCCTTAGGAAGAGATTTGACTAATATTTTATGGTAACATTTTATCCATATCTAGTTATGAACTAGCACTATATGAAAATTTGTTGGCTGCTTTCCTGAACTGTGCCTTGTATAAAATTGACAAATAAGATTTACAAAGTTGGTATATAGTGCCTAGGTCATTTTTGAAGATTTTTGTAACACTGCTGAGAATGTGTACCATAGAAAAAGAAACAAAATTCATCACATTATCATGGAATTGTATCCACACAATTGGTAAAACCACACAATTGGTAAAACTACACATTTCTAAAATATCAGCTAAGTCTAACAATGTGGTTTGGATCTGTGTCCCCGCCCAAATCTTTTGTTGAACTGTGTACTCCTGAGTGTTGGACGTGGGGCCTGGTGGGAGGCGACTGGATCATGGGGGCAGATTTTCCCCTTGGTATTGTGATGTAATAGTGAGTGAGTGAGTTCTCACAAGAGCTGATTGTTTTAAAGTGTGTGGCACCTTCCGGCTCTCTCACTCCTGCTCCTGCCATGTAAGACACCTGCTCCTGCTTTGCCCTCTGTCATGTGTAAAGTTTTCTGAGGCCTCCCCAGAAGCCACCATGCTTCCTGTACAGCCTGAGGGGCTGTGAACCAATTAAACCTCTTTTCTCTATAAATTATGTAGTCTCAGGTATTTCTTTATAAATTACCCAGTTTCAGGTGTTTCATTACAGTAATGTGAAAACAGAGTAATAAATCTTTTAAAAATAGTAATAAAATGCTAAAATATATAGTTACTCTCACTGTACTTCCAGAATAAATTTCATCCTAATGAATTCTAAGGTACTATATCAAATGAAATAAAATCTATACCAAGGCTTACTTCAACACCATTGAGATATTTAAATTAGGTGTATCCTTTCAGAGATTATGCCATTTTACATGCCATGGTGAAAAGGAATTAGGAAATGGACACCGGGCTATCTAAACAAAGAAAAAGAATTAACACCTTTTTTTCTCCTATGAAAGATCTATTCAAAAGCACGATCTCGGCTGGGTGTTGTAGCTCACTTCTACAATCCCAGCACTTTGGAAGGCCGGGCATATCACTTGAGGTCAAGAAATTGAGACCAGACTGGCAAACATGGTGAAACCCCTGTCTCTACTAAATATAAAAATTAGCCAGGCATGGTGGTGGGCCCTGTAATCCCAGCTACTAGGGAGGCTGAGGCAGGAGAATTGCTTAAACTTGGGGGGCAGAGTTTGCAGTGAGCTTAGATCACCTCACTGCACTCCAGCCTGGACAACACAGCAAGACTGTCTCACACACACACAAAAAAAGGCACTATCTCAACTATTTAGCTATTGAACTACTTTCAAAATCAAACAAATAACAATCTAAAGGTAAGAATATTATTTTTTATAGTGAATAAATATTCATACAGAACAATGCAATCCAGCATTTGCCAGTAATTTTTCATAAACTCTATTTTAATTTAAAATTTAAAGTAATTAATACATGCCAAAAATATACTAATCCACCAGTTATTTTATGAATGAGAACATCACCAATAGTATTAAAACTGTGTTAACCTCTTTGATCCCATCCCTGCCTCCCTCAGTGACCACTATCCTGAATAGTACCATTTCCTTGCTTACAAAAGTTTTTTCCACATATATATGGATCACTAAACCATGTATTCTTTAGTTTTCTCTTTTTAAAAAGTATTATAGAAATAATATCATACTGTTTTGATTTCTTTACTCAACAGTGTTTCTAAGACCTATCTATATTATTATGTGAAGCTATGTTACATTCATTCTTGCTCTGTGACAATGGAATTTCTTAATCCATTCTCTGATCAAATGACAATTGACTTATTTTCAGTTTTTTGCTATCACAACATTACTACAAACATTTTTGTTCATGTATGCTGATGTACTTAAGAGTTTGTCAAAAACCTATACCTACATGAAGTAGCTGGGTATAGACCATGTGTACAATTTGAACTTAAAAGTTTTTTCCAAAGTAATGTACCACTTGACACTCTCACTAGCTATATATAAAAGTTCCTGTTACTCCATATACATATCAAGATTTCTGATTGCCAGACTTAATTTTACCAAACCAATGAGTATAAAATAATATCTCATTATAATAAATTATCTATTACTAGTGAGGTTTAGAATCTTTTTCATTGATTTACTTGCCATTCATAATTCCATTAAAATGCTTACCTTTTTTTCAAATTGCTTATTAGTTCTTATGAAATTATAAAAATTCTTAACATATGCTGGATAGCAACACTGTTCCAGTTTTATGTCTTGTGAGTATCTTCTCCCAGTATATGATTTGGTTTTTTTTTTTTTTTTTTTTTTTTCAGTTTCTTTCCATGTTCTTGATTTAACTGAAATCAAATTTATTGATCTTTTAATTTAATATGCTTAAACATTTTTATTTATATTAAAGAAATTATCTTCTACACCAAAATAATGAAGAGATTATCTTATATTTTATGTCTTAAAGTTATGACTTTCACATTTATGTCTTTTGTTTATCTATAATTGATTTTTGTGTATGGTGTAAAGTAGAAATCCAATTTCATTTTACTTCTATACAGTGAATCAATTTATTTCAGGACCATTAATTAAACAGACCACTTTTCTGCAATGATCTGCTGTGCCATGTTAGTATGATATCAAGCTTCAATCTCCTTCTAGACTCTGTAATCTAGTCCATCAGTCAATTTGTCTATCTCTGATGCAGTTAGACATTTCTATACAGCCAAGACAACATTTTCACCAATAAAACAGAAATTCCTTAGTTTCTTCTAATAGCTAGTTCATTAAAATCTGCCCCTCTCAATTGCTGTCAAAATATCTTGCAGCTGGTGTTACAAAACTGAATCCAAACTAGGACCACACGTTGTATCTGGTTGTTCAGCCATTAAGTCTGTTTTAAACACTTCACTTTTTCATGACACCAACTGGTTGAAGCCATAGGGTCATCTGTCTCATAAAATCTCACCTTTCCAGATTTATCTGATGGCTTCCTTGTGGTTTATTTAGTTCAATAACTATCCCTTGAATTTCCTGAAAAAAAAATCAAATAGAAGTTAGATTTAAAGATTTGCCTGGATTCTAAATAAAGTTTTTTTTGGCTAAAATATATCATAAGTGAGGTAACATGGTTCATACTGCATCATGGCTAGAGATACATAATATTGTTTCCTACCATTAATCACTTTGTTAGTGGTGACACCACAACCCCTCCATTACACAGTTTCAGTGAGGAATCTGTTATTACTTTAGCACTATTCAAATGTCCAGTTTACTTTCAACCATTCACCTATTTGTTTTAACACCAATGAATATTCATTTTCTACTACAATAATTTCATTAGGTATTGTGAAATGGTAATTTTCTGGTTCTAGCTTTCTTCCATATACCTATGCCACCATTTTATAAAAACTGAGCTTTCTCCTTTAACCAGGGCATCATTTGTAAAATTTGGTTTCCCTTTTCATTTGGTTACCTTGACATGTAGTTCCTATAGGAAAGACAAATAAATGTCTCATTATTTCCCTTAGGTTAACAATTTTCAAATTAATTGTTTGGGTTAATAATAACCTCCCATAGAAAAAATTGGGTTTTGTGGCATTATCATTTATCACTAAGGGTGTATGGATTTTTTGCAAATTCAGTATGCCTCAATAATTATTAAACAATAATTTTTACAATAATTTTTATAGCAGCTTTATTTGTAATAGTCAAGACATGAAAACAGTCTAAATGTCCATTAAGAGGTGAATAAACAAATTGTAGTATATCCACACAATGGAATATTACTCAAAAAGAACAAACTATTGCTGCACACAACAAACATGGATTAATCTGAAAATAAATATGCTGAATGAAATAAGCCAGACAAAACAGATACTTATTATTTGATTTTCTTTTTTATAAATTCTATAAAGCTCAAGTTATCTATAGTTAATATGAAGCCATTCAGCAGTTTCCAACGGATAAGAATAGAGCAGGGACGGAAGACAATGAGGGATTGCCCAGGGACTGAATAATGATTTTTTAGATGCTCGAATTGTCACAACTTTGGCCAATAGAGTCCTTCTAAACTGGCTCCTGTGTCCTTTTTAAAAAATTAATTAATAACTTCACTTTTTAATGAAGCTTTGGTTTTATAGAAAAAGTGAACAGAAGTTGGCATTAAAAAAGAAAACAGAAGCCAGTTTGCTGGTCTTTGTGGTGGTGGGACCCACCAAGCCAGATCACTTGGCTCCCTGCCTCCAGCTCCCTTTTTTTCAGGAGAATGGGCAGCTCTGTCTCACAGAGCTGTATAGGAGCAGGCTAAAACGGCCACCCAGTTCTGTGCTGAAAACCTGCAGCTCCAGCTGAAAAGGCCACCCAGTTTTGTGCTGGAAACCCTGCAGCACTTGTCGGCCAGGGGGTAATCTCCTGGTCTGTGGGCTGTAAAGACCGTGGGAGAAGTGCAATATCTGAACTGGAGTGCTGGAGTGGTCGGAAAAGTCCCTGATAACCTCCATTGGGTAGGAGGGTGGATCCTCCAGCCTACCGCACTTCCTGGGTGAGGCAGTGCCCCACCCTGCCTCAGTTTGCCCTCCTCAGGCTATACTTACTGTCCAACCAGTCCCATTGACATGAACCTGGAACTTCAGTTGGAAATGTGGAGACCACTCACCTTCTGCATCGCTCTCACTGGGGACTGCGCCCTAGAGTGGGTCCTACTCAACCATTTTGGCGGAAGTCCCAATATTAATTTTTTACTTAATTTAAATTTTTTTAATGTTAATGCTTAACTTTAAATTTTCCTCCTTTCTTAGTCACTTTAAGAGTATCTTACACACATCATGGAAAGGTTTTGCTTTGTAAGATCTGCAAAGTTTTCTTTTTATAGTAGAGGTAAGCTGTTTTACATTTATTGATACAATTTTTCTGGACTTAGTTGTTTATATATACTGTGTATCTATTCTTACAAACATGTTTTTTCATATTTTGAGATCCCTGATTTTTATTTTGTGTCCTACAACTAATGTTGTATAATCAATTTTGTTCATTTTTTCCCCTTTGAAAATCTCTGAAACTAGGATGTGTCTATGACTTTTTTGATTCAATCCAATATCATATTTTCTTAAAACATTTCACAATTGTCTTTGTTTCTTTATTTTTTGTACTTTTTCTGATATTTAGGAAGGTTAGTAATTTTTCTCTAGTTGTTATCTTTAAATAATAATACCTTTGTAATAAGACCCATCCACTTTTTTTTCTTTAAACTTCTTATGGTAGGCAAAGTAACGGCCCTCCAAAGATGTCTACATCCCAACTACTGGAACCAGTAACTATGTTACATTACATGACAAAAGGGACTTTACAGGTGCGAATAATGTTAGAGACCTTGAAATGGAGATATTATCTTCGATTTTCTTGGTAGACCCTATATAACTACATGAATCTTTACAAGTAAGAAGAATTTGATCTGTTGTTCCAACCTTTAAAGATGAAGGATAGAAACCACAAGCCAAGCAAAGCAGCAGCCTCTAGAAAGTGGAAACAGCCTTCAGTTTATAGTAAGAAAATGGGAACTTGACTCCTACAATCTGAAAGAACTGAAATCTTCTAATAATCCAAAAAAGCAGAAAATGAAATCTCCTCTAGAGTCTGTATTAGTCTGTTCTCACATTGCTAATAAAGACATACCCGAGGCTCAGTAATTTATTAAGGAAAGAGGTTTAATTAACTCACAGTTCCACATGGCAAGGGAGGCTTCACAATCATGGTAGAAGACAAAGGAGAAGCAAGACACATCTTATATGGCAGCAGGCAAGAGAGCTTGTGACCTTGTGAAGGGAAACTCCCATGTATAAAACCATCAGATCTTATGAGACTTATTCAGTGGCATGAAAACAGTATGGGAAGTAGCTGGCATGACAATCAAATAGGAACAGCTCCAGTCTGCAGCTCCCAGAGAGATCACCACAGCAGGCAGATGACTTCTGCATTTCCAACTGAGTTACCCAGCCTGTCTTATTGGGACTGGTTAGATAGTGCAGCCCACAGAAAGTGAGCTGTGGGTGTCACCTCACTTGGGAAGCACAAGGGGTCAGGGGACTCCCTCCCCTAATCAAGGGAAGCCTTGAGAAACTATGCCATGAGAGACAATGCACTCCAGCCCAGATACTATGCTTTTCCCATGATATTCGCAACCCACAGACCAGGAGATTCCCTCAGTTGCCTATGCCACCAGAACCCTGGGTTTCAAGCACAAAACTGGGTGGCCGTTTGGGCAGACACTGAGCTAGCTCCAGGAGTTTTTTTCATACCCCAGTGGCTCCTGGAATGCCAGTAAGATAGAACCATTCACTCTCCTGGAAAGGGGGCTGAAGCCAGGGAGCCAAGTGGTCTAGCTCAGTGGATCCCACCCTCACAGAGTCCAGCAAGCTAAGATCCACTGGCTTAAAATTCTTGCTGCCAGGACAGCAGTCTGAAGTCTACCTGAGACACTCAAGCTTAGTGGGGAAAGGGGTGTCCACCATTAATGAGGCTTGACTAGGTGGTTCTCCCCTAACAGTGTAAACAAAGCCACTGGAAATTTCAGATGGGGTGGAGCCCACTGCTGCTCACAAAGCTGCTGTAGCCAGCTCCTCTCTACATTTCTCCTCTCTGGGCAGGGCATCTCTGAAAGAAAGGCAGCAGTCCCAGTCAGAGGCTTATGCATAAAACTCTCATCTTCCTGGGTCAGAGCACCTGGGGAAGGAGTAGCTGTGGGAGCAGCTTCAGCAGACTTAAACATTCCTGTCTGCTGACCCTGAAGAAAGCAGTGGATCTCCCAGCACAGGGCTCAATCTCTGATAAGGGACAGACTGCCTCCTCAAGTGCATCATTGATTCCCGTGCCTCCTGACTGAGAGACACTTCCTAGCAGGGTCGACAGACACCTCAGGCTGGAACCTGGCAGGTGCCACTGTGGGATGAAGCTTCCAGAGGAAGGAACAGGCAGCAGTCTTTACTGTTTTGCAGCCTCCACTGCTGATACCCAGCAAAAAGAGTCTGAAGTAAACCTCCAGCAAACTTCAGCAGACTTGTAGCAGAGGGGCCTGTTAGAAGGAAAACTAATAAACAGAAAAGAATGGCATCAACATCAACAAAAAGAACATCCACACAAAAACCCCATCTGAAGGTCACCAGTATCGAAGATCGAAGGTAGATAAATACACAAAGATGAGGAAAAACAAGCACAAAAAAAGCTGAAAATTCCAAAAACCAGAATGCCTCTTCTCCTCCAAAGAATCACAACTTCTTGCCAGCAAGGAAACAAAACTGGGTGGAGAATGAGTTTGACAAATTGACAGAAGTAGGCTTCAGAAGGTGGGTAATAACAAATTCCTCCAAGCTAAAGGAGCATGTTCTAACCCAATGCAAGGAAGCCAATAACCTTGATAAAAGGTTACAGGGACTGTTAACTAGAATAACCAATTTAGAAAACAACATAAATGACCTGATGGAGCTGAAAAACACAGCACAAGAACTTCATGAATCATACACAAATATCAATAGCTCAATCAATCAAGTAGAAGGAAGGATATCAGAGACTGAAGATCAATTTAATGAATTAAAGTGTGAAGACAAGATTAAACAAAAAAAGAATTAAAAGAAACAACAACAACAAAAAAAAAAAATCCAGAAAATATGGGACTATGTGAAAAGACCAAACTTATATTTGATTGGTGTACCTGAAAGTGATGGGGAGATTGGAACCAACTTAGAAAACACCGTTCAGGATATTATTCAGGAGAACTTCCCCAACCTAGTAAGACAGGCCAATATTCAAATTCAGAAAATACAGAGAACATTAGAAAGATACTCCTTGAGAAGAGCAACCCCAAGCCACATAATAATCAGATTCACCAAGTTTGAAATGAAGGAAAAAATATTAAGGGCAGCCAGAGAAAAAGGTAAGGTTACCCACAAAGGGGCGCCCATCAGACTAACAGCAGATCTCTCTGCAGAAACCCTACAAGCCAGAAGAGAGTTTAGGCCAATATTCAATCATCTTGAAGAAAAGCATCTTCAACCCAGAATTTCATATCCAGGCATACTAAGCTTCAAAAGTGAAGGAGAAATAAAATCTTTCACAGACAAGCAAATGCTGAGAGATTTTGTCACCACCAGGCCTGCCTTACCAGAGCTCCTGAAAGAAGCACTAAATATGAAAAGAAAAAACTGGTACAAGCCACTCCAAAAACATACCAAATTGTGAAGACCATTGACACCATGAATATATTGCATCAAATAATGTGCAAAATAACCAGCTAGCAGCATGACAGGATCAAATTCACAATAACAATATTAGCCTTAAATATAAACATGCCAAATGCCAGTATTAAGAGATGCAGACTGCCAAATTTGATAGAGTCAAGGCCTGTCAAATTGGTGTGCTGTATTCAGGAGACCCATCTCACAGAAAAGACACATGTAGGGTCAAAATAAAGGGATGGAAGAATATTTACCAACAAAATGGAAAAAAAAAAAAAAAAAAAGCAGGGGTTGAAAAACCAAGATGGCCGAATAGGAACAGCTTTGGAGTGCAGTTCCCAGCAAGAACAAGGCAGAGGATGAGTGACCATTGCATTTCCAAATGAGTTTTTACTGCCCACAGACCAGGAGATTCCCAGGCTGAAAAGCACCACAAGTTTCCAGCATGGCTGTTTCAGCCAGTGCCGCGGATCTCCACACAAAAATTCACACAAATCTGCGTGGCTGTTTCAACTGGTGCCTGGAATGCCTGGGATACAGAGCCACCCATTCAAGTGAAAAAAAAAAGGGGGGGGGCTGAAACAGGGAGCCAGGTGCTCTGGCTCAGTGGGTCTCACCCCCACAAAAAACAGCAATCTGAAACGTTCTGGATTGAGAGATTAGCGGCAAGTGCAGCTGGACCTGGGATGGTCCAGCTTGGTGGGGTGAAGGGTATCAGCCATTACTGAGACAGTCCACCATTACCAAAGCAGTCTGCCATTACTGAGGCAGTTCTAACTGTACCTCTGTAAACAAAACTGCAAGGAGCTTCACATAGCAGCTAAGCAGAGCCCATAGAAGCTCAGTAACGCCTCTGCTGGCAGACTGTGACTAGACTACCTTCTTGCTGGGCAGGGCATCTCTGAAAAAAAAGCAGCAGCATGTCAGGAACTTATAAATAAAGCCCCACCTTCCCAGGACACATCACCTGGGGAAAAGGCGGTTATGAGTTCCACTGCAGCAGACTTAAACATACCTGCCTAGCAGCTCTGAACATAACAACGGAGCTCCCAGGGCAGCATTTGTGCTCCTATAAGGGGCAGACTGTCTCCTCAAGCAGCCCCCATATATCCAAAGAGACAACCCATAAAGGAGAGCTCAGGCTGACATCTGGCTGGTACCCTTCTGGGATGAAGATAACAGAAGAAGAAACTGGCAGCAACCCTTACTGTTCTGCAGGTGCTGCAGGTGATCCCGAGGCAAGCAGGGTCTGGAGTGGACCTCCAGCAGTCCTACAACTTCAACATCAACATAAAGGACATTCACTCAAGGACCCCATTTGAAAGTCACCAACTACAAAGACCACAGGTAAATAAATCCACTAAGATAGGAAGAAACCAGTGCAAAAAGGATGAAAACACCAAAAACCAGAATGCCTCTCCTCCTCTAAGGGATCACAACTTCTCAGCAGCAAGGGAACAAAGATGGATAGAGAATGAGTCTGGTGAACTGACAGAAGCAGGCTTCAGAAGGTGGGTAATAACAAACTTCTCTGAGTTAAAAGACCATGTTTTAATCCAATGCAAAGAAACTGAGAACTTTGAGAAAAGGTTAGACAAAATGCTAACTAGCATAACCAGCTTAGAGAAGAAGATAAACGATCTGATGGAGCTGAAAAACACAGCACGAGAATTTCACAAGGCATACCCAAGTTTCGACAGCCAAATTGATCAAGCAGAAGAAAGGATATCAGAGATTGAAGATAACATCAATGAAATGAAATGAGAAGGCAAGATTAGAAAAAAAGACAGTGGAAAGAAATGAACAAAACCTCCAAGAAATATGCGATTATGGAAAAAGACCTAATCTATGCTTGATCAACATAACTGAATGTGATGGGGAGAATGAATCCAAGCTGGAAAACACTCTTCAGGATATTAACCAAGAGACCTTCCCCAACCTAACAAGGGAGGCCAACATTCAAATCCAGGAAATACAGAGAACACCACAAATATACTCCTCACAAAGAGCAACCCTAAGGCACATAATCGTCAGATTCACCACAGTTGAAATAAAGGAAAAAATCCTAAGGGCAGCCAAAAAGAAAAGTCAAGTCACCCACAAAGGAAAGACCATCAGACTCACAGTAGATCTCTTGGCAGAAATCCTAAAGCTAGAAGGAAGTAGAGGCCCATATTCAGCATCCTTAAAGAAAAGATCTTTCAACCCATATCCGGTCAAACTAAGCTTTATAAGTGAAGGAGAAATAAAATCCTTTATAAACAAGCAATTGCTGAGAGATTTTGTCACTGCAAGACCTGCCTTACAAGAGCTCCTGAAGGAAATGCTAAACATGGAATGGAACAACCAGTAACAGCTACTGCAAAAAAAAAAAAGCTACTGTTCTTTACCAAATGGCAAAGAACACTGACACAATGAAGAAACCATGTCAACTAATGGGCAAAACAACCAGCCAGTAACAAAATGGCAGGATCAAATTCAGACATAACAATATTAATGTTGAACATAAATGGCCTAAATGCCCCAATCAAAAGACACAGACTGGCAAACAGGATAAAAAGTCAAGACCCATCAATATGCTGTATTCAGGAGACCCATCTCACGTGCAAAGACTCACACAGACTCAAAATAAAGGGATAGAAGATTTACCAAGCAAATGAAGAGCAAAAAAAGGCAGGGGTAGCAATCCTAGTCTCGGATAAAACGGACTTTAAACCAACAAAGATCAAAAGAGGCAAAGAAGGGCATTACATAATGGTAAAAGGATCAATGCAACAAAAAGAGCTAACTATCCTTAATATATATGCAGCCAATGCAGGAGCACCCAGATACATAAAGCAAGTTCTTAATGACCTACAAAGAGATTTAGACTCCCACACAATAATAGTGGGAGACTTTAACACTCCAATGTCAATATTAGACAGATCGACAAGACAGAAAGTCAACAAGGATATCCAGGACTTGAACACAGATCTGGACCAAGCTAGCTTAATAAGACATTTACAGAACACTCCACCCCAAATACACAGAATACTCATTCTTCTCAGCACCACATCTCACTTACTCTAAAATTGGCTACATAATTGGAAATAAATCACTCCTTAGCAAATGCAGAAGAACAGAAATCATAACAAACAGTCTCTCAGACCACAGCATAATCAAATTAGAACTCAAGATTAAGAAAAGCACTCAAAATCACACAATCACATGGAAACTGAACAACTTGCTTCTGAGTGTCAACTGGATAAACAATGAAATGAAGGCAGAAATAAAGATGTTCTTCAAAACCAACAAGAACAAAGACACAATGTACCAGAATCTATGGGACACATTTTTAAAGCACTGTCTGGAGGGAAATTTATAGCAATGAATGCCCACATGAGAAACAAGGAAAGATCTAAAATCAACACCCTATCATCAAAATTGAAAGACCTAGAGAAGCAAGATCAAAAAACCTCAAAAGCAAGCAGAAAACAGGAAATAACTAAGATCAGAGCAGAACCAAAGGAGATAGAGACACAAAAAGCCCTTCAAAAAATCAATAAATCCAGGAGCTGGTTTTTTGAAAAGATCAACAAAATAGACCAGTAGCTAGACTAATAAAAAATAAATGCAAATCAAAACCACACTGAGATACCATCTCATGCCAGATAGAATGGCAATCATCAAAAAATCTGGAGACAACAGATGCTGGAGAGGATGTGGAGAAAAAGGAACACTTTTACACTGTTGGTGGAAGTGTAAATTAGTTCAACCATTATGGAAGACAGTGTGGCAATTCTTCAAGGATCTAGAAACAGAAATTCCATTTGGCCCAGCAATACCCAAAGGATTATAAATTGTTCTATTATAAGGACACATGCACACATATGTTCGTTTTGGCATTACTTATGATA